TGCCCCCCCCCCCCCCCTTTACCTCTCAGCCTTTGTTTTCCTCACACTTTGAAGCAGTTTTAAAAAAAACATACTTCTCCCTGTTCTTTGTTTTTCAGAATACATAGGAATTATAAGTAGGGAGTGGAGGAAGAGAGGAAGAACAAGAGCTGATCCCTGTCTGCAGTAGGGTATGTTCTGGCAGTGTTGTGTCCATCCCCCCACCTCCAGGCAGCATGGAATAGGTCCACACAAGCTGACACTGGAAGCAATAGACAAAACAATACGCTCAGGTTTTACCTGGCCCATCTCCTTCCAGCACTCAGGAGTTTGTGGTATGTAAGATTAAAAGCTATTCCACTATGTCAATGCTACTACTAAAGTTAAATAGCTAAACTGCAACTTTCTATCTTACCAATACACATAAAAATGTATTTTGCAGACATTCCACCAAAGAACAGTAGGTCCCAAATAACACACATCAATCAATTCACAGTATCTTGCCTTAAGACAAAGTGCCCTACATAAGAAACCATACCTAAACAGCCACACAAACTTTACATCAAATCCTTTCTTAGTAGGACAACATTTATACTAATCTGTGGGAGACCTTAGTGCATGTGAAAACATGGTATTAACTTAACCCAAGCACAGTGCAGCTGCTGTGCCAGCTCTCCACCTTCCTATCAAAGCAAGTTCAGCTAGACTGCCAGCTTCATGCTTGAGACTCGAGGAGAGGCTGCCCCAAGAGCAGTCAGGGGCTTGATTTGTGGTCATTTTCTACATCCACGGTGTGGAGGGCTAGATCGTCATTGCGAACCAAAGGAAGCCGTAGTCTTGTGTTTAGTTCCTTGTGAGAAATACAGCACAGATCTCTTAGCTCTTTTTTGAAGTAGACTAAGGAAACCAGTGTCAGTTACAGCTCTGGCCAGAGACTAAGTGTAGCGAGAAGTAGTAATGTAATATTAAACTATGACACTTGTTTACAACCACTAGTTTGTGTGACAGTGCTAAACAACATTCAATCTATTGCTACATAGGTACAGGGAGACTAGCTGTTAACTAACTAGCTTGTTAACTACAGGTCTACAAGCCAATTCAAAACATTCATTTTGAGTGCTCAAGAAATACATCAGTATAAGGGGTCTTCTGACACTCATATAAACGTTTTCCCCTTCTTGACTAGCAGATCAGTCATCAACAGAAAACTCATCACCAGCATGTCCAATGTTATGGCTGAGAGGAGAGGGACTTGTACTTAGCTCTGTGTTCATCTATTTCTTCCTTTGTTTTTCTGATACAACTAAAAATTTCCTTGAAGAGTGCTTTATATTCGGGAAGAGCATTTGTAGGAGAGTCACTTAGCTCCACATTTGCAAATTCTTGATTGCTAGCTGAAAGATCACACTGGGTATTGCCCACATGTAGGTCTTTGGAATACTGCTTCAGTGTTTGTACAGCCTTGTGTTTCAAAGAATCTTCATCCATTTGACACTTCTTCAAAAGTTCCTCATACTTCACTTTCAGAGCATTATACTGTGCATCAACTTCATTAAGTACAGAGATTCCTCGCTGCTTCACAGCTTCAGCTCTCCTAATACACGTTTCTTCGTGGCCCCTTAGGATGTCTCCCCCTGCAGCACTGCTTAGGAAAGATTCGCTGCTGCTCCGCTTCAGTGCCTTCTTCTCATGCTCCGATACAGTCAGAAGTTCATCATCTGCCGGGCTCTGACCAAGCTCCCTTTCTAAAGATTCCTTGAATGAAATGAAAAAGGATTCCGGCACCAATTTCTCTGCATTATGGAGTGTGTTTTCAGACTGAAGGATTTGTCTCATTTCAGCTACTTCTGCTTCTAACTCCTCTGCACGAGCGCGATACAAGTCTGTATCAACAAGCCTCTGTTCAAGGTCACAGTTCTCTTTCACCATAAGACTATATTCCTCTTCCATTGTTACCCTCTTCTCTTTTTCTAGGTTAAGTTGGGCTTGCAGAACTGTAACTGCCTTTTTTAAGTTCTCATTTTCTTCTTCTAGAGGACTTAGCTGACTATCCATCGAAGTAATCTTTTCTGCAAACACATGATCATAAACAAAATACCTGCAGAAACAAAGTAAGTATCATCAAATATAGGAAGTACAGCCGACCACACCTCCTAAGCTTTTCCTGTCCTGGGTAACTAATGACCCATTTGAACTGTATGCTAACACACCTCAAAGTATAAACAGCAGTCATTGGACTGACCTATCAGTCGATTTAATAATCAGAACAGAGTTTGTAAATACTTAAGTGCCATCAAATCAAGCCTCACAGCTTAAGCAGGATGGCAGCTCATTAACAGTTTCAAGTTACAGACAAGCTTATTGAATAACTAGACCTACAATTTTAAGTTTAAATAAATATTGCCTCCATGTATCATGAAACACTTTGTCTGACACTCAGATTTTTTTCTGCAGCACTCCACTCTTGTAACTTTTGTCATTATTCATTTTGGAAAACAAGCCTGAAAATTGACATGACAATTCTGTAGGCTGGTATTTCCACAAGCCTTTGGTGGTTTGAAGGAATCCACTTATCTTTTGAATTGTCAAGAAATAACTTCTTTTTAGCCATACAGATTTATTGTACAGTCACCTCTAGTGCTGAAGCCCAGACACAAAAACCTGTTCTGCCTGTCTGTGGAGGTGCTTCACTTAGGAAATTCTCTTCTAGGATTGAAGCTGCTCTGAGCTTTTACCCCAGGTGATTGTCCTGATGAGTAAAACTGCTCTAAATTAAAAAAGTAGCCCAGAGCTCCAGGCACCATTTTACCAGCTTAAGCATCATTTTAACCAGCTCAAGTTCAGGAAAGCTACTGCAGGAATCCTGCCTTCCTTGAAAATACGCACAGACATCCAAGGAAAGGGTAAGTTACAGAAAATATTTTGCATTTAGGATGTTTTTCTAAATATCTGTGTGTATGCTTTTATCTGATGGAAAAATGTGGGGTGCAAATTGCTGTAAGCTTTCTAGGTTACAATTTGATATGGTTGGAGACTTTAGGAGAGAACCTTTCAAGACAGAAAGTGGAGCCTGCAATTCCTCTCACACAAAGAGTAGTGTGGTCTAGAAGTGTGCCACAAGCAGTGGGAACACCACACAGTGCAGGACTGTGCAGATATTTGCTAGTGGAGAACATTAGATCTTTTTCTGCTAGCTTGTTTGACAGCTGTGCTTGTGTGTCTTAGTTTTTAAAGCTCTGCTTAAAATAATTTCAGTATTCTCTTTGCTATACAAGGTAAAAAGGCTTACTGGCGAAGGTCATACAGCTCCTTCAAACATGAAAAACTATGCATTGATCTTGGCTGGTCAGATCTCTCATGGTTCATCCGGACTCGTCCAGACTTTTTCAGTTCTTCTACTTGTCGTTGCAGGTCATCTATGTGCGTTTGCAGATTTTCAATAGTCTCTGTCAAGCTAAAAGGTGAAGGACTGCTGTTAAAAACATTTGAGTGTTTAGTCAAGGACATGGGAATTTCCCATTCCCTCCTACTGTAGTTTCTTCTCTGAAGGCTGCTCTTTGGCCCCAAGAGACCTTTAAATAAAATGATCCTTTCAATTTAGCAGGATTGTAGAACACCACTAGACAGAGACAGCCACCCAATAACTACATGAATACACTTGGACTGCTCTTCTTCATATTATCAACTGGGGGTGGGGATCTAGTATAAGTCTGTTACCTTAATATCTTTTGTTGTGAAGCTCTACTCTCCGCAACTAGTTTTTGATTAGTGTCTTCTAGTTCTCTTGCTGTCACATCCAGCTGTTCATAGACTTTTGCATGCTGATCATTCATCTGACGCAAGAGTTCCACTTGCTTTGTGAGGTACTGCAAGACAGTATTGATGTTATTAGATTACACGTGAAACACAAGAACAGGACTACTGTTTGGCATTTTTATTCACATTCATAGAGAAACGACTACGTTTCAGAAATGTAGATTCCAGTGGTTGCTTTGCTAAGTGTTCAGTTGAAAAGGCTCTACCAGTAACCCAGCCAGCTTGCCTCTGTCATGGAGGTCAACCCCACTCATCAAGCAACCTTTCACCCAGAGGAGCTGGGTTTGGTTGTACAAGCTCTGTTTCTCTGTCCTTGCTGCAGCTAGACTTTTGACAGTAGCCAAGCCTTCTGGATTGGGTTTGGCTGTGCTGCAGCCATCACTGATAGAGCCTTGAATCCAGACTTCAACACAGCCCTTAACTATCCACTGAGTCCTTCTAAAAGTTGCAGTGGGCTCCAACAGAAATTTTTTAAGTGTTGACCCAACAATTTTCTGAGCGTTAAAACAGAAATACTGGGTAGCACCATCCATAATTAAATTTCTTTTCAGCTGACCTAAGTTCTTCCAGTCTGAGGCAGCATTAGGTTCAGTAGAACAGAATTTAGGTTGTGGTCACAGTTAAGACTGTGTGGGCTACTATGTGTCAGGAAGTACAATCAAATTACTGAATTCAGTCTTTAATTACCTACAGGGAACTATTCCAGTTACTGAAATCCCAAATAAAGGTCTCCTGCCTTTTTTTTTTTTTTTAAATCTCCACATGAAGTATTCTCATTTTAATCCTCTTTAGTTTTACACTTAACAGCATAGACTGTTAAGTTTCTTGAATAATGTCAGAAAACTTGGAATTCTCAGTCTTAAGAGTAGTTAACAATCACCTAAGGCTCTTAATACAAGTGTCTTTTATTGTCCCACCCAGGACAGGACTGATCCAGTTCTAAAAGCCACACAAGAGCTTGCATCAGACAGACTTGAACAAAACACCCAACCCTTTAAATCTGAAATACTTTGTTCTTACACAGAATTTATTTCTTGCAATATACTGTGTATTACTACATGCTACTTACTGAAAAGTAAACTTCAAGTAGGAACACCCAGCAGACTTCTAGGCAGAATTACCTCTCTTTACATAGTACTGTTACATACTGAAAACTTCCAATATTCTACTTAACCTTTTACCTCATTAAAAGATTGATGGGTTTACATTTTAGGCAATTTAAGAACAGGTAATAAGTTAATCTAGGGCTAGTAACTGCTACAGATAGACTTCTAGAAGATCAACATGGTAGCAGTTGGCTAGATCCTTTTGTAGCCTGTGCACACATGACAGAGGATTTACACAAAAATAGTCCATGGATTAGCAGCAGAATCTCAATGTGACCCATTTCAGATTAACTTTCCCTATTGGTTATTCTGGGAAGGAGCTGGAGATCTTCAGATTTTCTTCAGGAACACCTGCGTGGCTAAGCACAGAAACCAAGACTTTGATGCCAGAATTAGATGTTAACACTTACTGCAATGGGCTTTTGCAGAAGTTTTAGATGAATGGAAGAGGTGAAGCACCATTTTCTCCACCTTGCATCTCCATTATCTTTAGTGCTGGGGTCAAGTTGGCCTTGGTTATACCAGGCCACCAAAACAAAGTATAGATGTGGTAATAAATACTTGGGAAGTTCACATTTATTCCACCTCCCCTGCAACTAAGCACCTAACATTGAAGCAGCAGTTGAGACTTCTTGCATTCTACCACATGATAAAAGAAGAGTGTCAGTATTTCTGGAGTGCCAAGAACAGATTCAGACATGAATAAAGTTGCCCTTTCAATCTAGCATTTACTACATCTACAATGATTAGTTAGTGGCACATGTGTCAGCACAGAGGTCAGATATAATGATCCAAGGCTGTAAAGCACTTAATACGTTAGCGTTTAATATATTAGATGTAATCTTAAGCATCCCAGAACCTTTGACCCTTCCTTTTCCATGCAGACAAGAGAGTACCATATTTCAGAATGATTTCTTAGCAAGTTCTAGATTTTGCTACTCAAAAAATGTGAATTAATAGGGGGAAAAAAAAAAACACAACACAAAGACACCAATATACTGCACTGAAAAAGCTCGCCAAAAATGCAACAGACTAGCTACAGGAACAGCTGAAAGATCACCTTTAGGTGACAAAGATAAGCACTTGAATATTAGTGAGGGGAATAAAAAAAAACAAATTTAAAATAAAAAAAAGTCAAGCATAGAGACTGGATGTGCCACTTTGCACATTTATCCTGCACAGTGGGATACCCTGCATTCTCACAGAACACAAGAAATATGGGTATGAAAATAACTGACTGAACTGCTTTTACAAGCTGAAAAGTAGTACTGCACCTTGCATATGCTAATTTTATTCCTATTTGTTTCAGTCCCTTCTCCCAGTAAGATAATACATTCAGTTCCTCCATCTTGAGGTTCTCTCTGGGTATTTGAAGAAGGGGCTAATTTGATTTTCCCTTTTCTACCAGAAATCCAGATGCAAGAGAGACTTCTTCGAAGGAAGAAATGTTTTGAGTTGCTAATACACTTTTAAACTGCACTGGGAAAAGACAGAAGATTAAGACAGGTGGTAGAACTAGGAAGACTGTGTTATTACAGCAGATGCAAATAAAGTCTGCAGGTTGACTCAAGACAGTAAGTTGGGCAAATAAAGGTGCAGGCACTACTTGTGTCAGAAGCATCACAAAAACTGATCTCCCACCTCTATCCCTCCTCTTGGAGAAAGCTAATAGGGCAACCCAATACACACTCTTATGCATGCTGGGGGAGAACAGTAAAGAGAAGAAAGAGGTATCAGATAAAGCTGTCAAAGAATAGTATTGCACAAGTCTTGACTTGGTTTGATTGGCTAAGCAAAGCAAGATATTGAGAGAATAAATTAGTCTGTCACCATCTGAGGTTGCCTGAACCTGGAAGTACTTGACCCTGCAACACACCAACTATAGATTACTGCTGGAAGGACACTTCTGGCCACTTCCTTGTGCTGAAGCTCTCTTACGTAGTCAATCAGTGCTAACCCACCAAAAAAGCTTAAGCAAATAAACTGCCTTAAACCAACAGGGTATTACATCCTTAATAGCACTTTTTTATAAATGAATGCAGCTTAGCAATAACACATTTCAACATTAATATAAGTGGTTTATTTCAATAATATTTCAAGACAGCATGAAAATACAGCTGCTTATTAAGTAGCTACACTCAGCCAGATTAGTTACCTAGCGCAACGTTATGCGGTGTTATTTCAACAGGTGTGTTGTAACCACGTTAAACACTTCCTTAAACATGGTTGTTCATACAGGTGTTGAACCTTAAATAGAACAGCAATTGTATAGCACTTTGAAGTGTTTGTCCTCTCTAGATCTCAAGAATTAATCTTTTTATAAAAACCACTAATGGCAATGAGTTATTTTAAGTCTCTGCATAAGTAAATATATTTTTTGTCATGCTGCAGCACTAACAAATATCAGCCATTCCAATCATTGTATCACAGAACAAATAGGATAACAAAGATGACATTTAGCATATAATAGAGGAGAAATCCAAAGTATGAAGTATAAAACAGAAGTATCTTATTAAAAAGAAAATGACCTGCACCCAGAAATAGTGCATCACCTAATAAAAATGGTGCATTTGTGTTAACATGTTTACTGTAAAGACACCTATGTATCAGTCATCTACGTATCTATACGTACTAAGCTTAGGATTCTTTTAAGTTACCTGTTACCATTACAATGACAAGGGATTTAAATCTTAAGTTACAGTTGTACAAGATCCACCCAGCATCTGTAACTACATAAGTACTTCTTGCACAAAGGAACTCAGATTTTGTAAAAATCTAGTGTATACCAGTCACAGCCTGTTCCCTATGATTCACAGCAGAACCAAACTGAAATGCTGACTACATTTCCAATATGTTGTCAGTCAGCAAAGTACTGAATATTTAATAATTTAATTATTAGAGATCATGCGTTGCCCTCCAATAGTTGAGAAAAAAATCATTATGCTGACAAATGCCAGGTCTGCAAGAACACAAGCAATATTAAAAAAAAAAAAAAATTGCCAAAAATGGCCAGGTTTTTCCACCAAGTACACAAAGATAAGTGGTTTGAAAGGGCAATTATGATTTTTTTTTTCCCTGGAAAATTCAGAACAATATATCCACTACGTCCTGTATTTAGATACTATTTAAGTTCTGTTTTTTCTGGGGTTTTTTGATGTTTTGTTTAGTTGGGTTTTTTAACTGAAATAGACTTTAGCTCCATTTACCACAGTTCAGGTTAATAGAAGTACATATCCTCAGATTTTACTTAAATCTCTCTCCTGCACTTACTAGCATTTAAATTTCAGGGCTATAACCACTAACATTTTAATATAATAATTTAAATTACTGATTTATTTATCATCATATAATGTCATTTTACCTGGCAAGATCAGCAAAGTATAAAATAAAAAGTAACTTTTCTGTACATAAAGAAAAATACCAATTGTCATTAAACAAGCCAAATCCAACATGAAGTTTAGTGGCATAAAGCTTCTGGTAATCAAACAGATCTAACTGTGATCAAGCATATACAAGTTCTCAAATTCTCTAAGTAGCAGAAGTGGTTAAAGATTATGTAGTATTTTTCTTTAAAGTGTCCATCAGGTGTCAAGAAATTTAGATCTCAACTATTATGTCGCACGTATAGGTGCTTTAACACTTGGATCCCTTAAATGTTTACCTCTATCTCCTGCAGTTGTTCCTGATTTGTTGCATACATTTGCTGTAAAGATTCTTCTAGTTCAGTGTTGCGGTCCAGTAATGTCTTCCCAAGCTCAGCAGCAAGGTGAAGATCTAAACAAAGAAATCACGTTTGCATGTAAGTTATAGACCCAGTAATATAATCTAATTTTAAAGCATTTTAACCAAATACTTGGTTGTTTTTTTATTGCTGTCGTAACTGCTCTAAGTTATATCCAAGACCCAAAAATAAAGGTAGCTTAAGTAGAACATTCATATACCATCTATAATGCAAGTGTAAGTCAGTCCTGAAACCTAGAAGTTACTCATTTCATGAAGCTGCCTTAGTTCCTTTGGTCCTTCAGCCACAGGTCAGACACATGCAGCCATCTTCTCTTCACTTCCCACCATCTGCCTAGTACTGCACCAGCATCTCTACCCAAGGTGTCTGACAGCTACATGTTTACAGCACTCATGGTTAGAAGAATAAGCATAAAAGAGCCTGTAAATGTTCATCAGGCTAGACCCAGGCCAAAGGTGACTGCACTCTTACTTTGCTATTCTTCCCCATTACTCCTTCACCAAAGGAGCACAGGTCACACAGGATCAAAGTGCTAAATGAAAGTTTCAGATGGTTTTATGGTGAAACAATAACATCAAAAAACATAAAACTGATAAAGAAATGTACTATTCTGCTTTTCAAGCTCATAAACCTAGGAGACAAGAATTGGTTTATGTGCTCCAAAACATGATTTTAAATGTCATTTGTTCTCAGGCACTTAATCTCAATTTCACTTCAGTCATTTTCAATCACCTCCAGGGTGCAGTGACTGTAGTTGTTTCAAATTAAGAAATAAGTCATCTGAACACTCAGTTCCTTTCTAGAGGGAAGCTTGATATTTGTTCAACAGCATCAGTAGTGCTAAATATTCTCTATTATTATGTTTAAAGACGTGTAATTTAAAAGCTAACATAATGCGACAAAGAAACAAATCTTGGTGTAACTGCTAAAATTGTGATTACTCTATGCAGTGTATTACATGTTAAGAATCCAAGAGATTTCCAGAAATCTCTGATTTTCCACCTCCTTCCCATCACCTGTACTATAACCAGGCTGTCTCCTGCATGCATGCAATACAATCTTGTTAGTTTTCACATAGAACAAGCGTCACTAAGGACAAAGACAGAAGAAAAGTCAAGAAAAACTTGAGTTTCACTTCAAGAAGACTTAAATTAATATGAGCCATGTATTGCATCATTGGTAGTTGCAGCTAGATGAGAAAACACATTCCATTTTCATTTGATTAAGATGCCCTTGTTTTAACATGTTATCTTACCTCTTTCCTGCCCTTTCCCAATTATCTTATCAGCTAGTCATTGTAATAGATAGAACACTGTTCCAAGGTTGCTCTGTGCTAACCTTCAGTCTGGCAGCCTGTCCAAAATGATTACTCCATCTACACACATAAGCCAAAGACCAGATTCAGACTTACAAGGACAAGTGAGTAGAAACATTTGTCTATTAAGTTGGAGATGTCCAACTCTAGCAAAACAACAGCTGTGGTATTCTTTACAGCTACAGTGCATTGTTTCCTACCTTAAGGTCAGATTCTTAGAATAAATGCCACAAAAATTATTTGAAACAAGTAACACTGCATGGGAGTTCCTTGCAGTTTCAAAAGATGCATGGCTAGGAGCCACATGGCGGACTGATCTATACTTACAGGTTTATCCTCACGTAGCACTTGTTAAGAAACACAGCCTGCTCTAGAGCTGGGGTTTAAAATACTTGGATAAGGAAACCTTAAGGTATCCTGCTCAAGTTTTTCCCGTTTTCAAACAGAGATTGTACATTGTTTACTCATGGACAGAGTAACTCCCAAATAGCAAGCTGTTCGTTCTATCACATTACAGAATACAATATAGTCTTTAAATCCAGTGAACCTGTCATCCTGTATAAAAAGGAGTCCTGTTTCACAGGTTCCCATACTACACAAATCCTCACTAGAATCTTTAAAGCTAGTCAACAATGCTGGCATCATTCGAGGCAAAGACTAAATAGTCCATTCTTTTATTTTAACAGTAGAATAAGAGCTTTAGAGAGGATTTAAGATTATGTTAAAGACGTAATGCATAATAGCATTACTTGCTGCCATTTCCCTTCCCAAAGTGAAAGTTTGTTTTGATGTTTAAGTACATTTAAGAGTTGAAAGTTTCATTCTTAAATGCCCCCTCATCTACTAAATCAAGTAGTACACACCACACAGTACTTTGAATACAATGTGAGTAATAGAATTCATGTCATTATACTTACACACTCTTTCTGTTCATTAGAATGGCAGAAACACAAATGAGTTACTATGGGAGAAGCATGCTATTTTGTAATTAAGGCAATTTGTTTCTGAGGGGGAGAATACAAGTGGAAGAGCTCAGGAACATGCAAAAAAACCCAGACTGCCATCCCCAGAGAAAGCAAGAACTGAAAGAATTTCACCTCTTCTAAAATTAAGAATTTGCTTTGTGTCCATTTTTCTACATTGTTAAGTACCTATAAGCCCTATAATGAGCAAATTTTAAGAATGAATGTGCAATATGTATGTTCTCTAGATAGAGAAGGAAAACGGTTAATTCACATTTCTCAGAGAGTTACTGTACAATACTAGAAGCACACTGCATTTTCTGTTGTAAATTTATGTAAAGTAACAGCAAAGTTCTGCCAGACAGACATTTTTCCTTTTCACCATGAAGATCTAAGCAGGAAGGTTTTTAATAATGCAAACTGCATACATTCAGATCTTAAGATCTTCATTTCAGTAAATCTGATCAGTTGTACTGGTGTTTTAACAGCTCCATCAGAAATCTCTAAAGCAAAACAAGACTCTGAGAAGAGGTCTGCTGTGACATTAAACAGCCCTCACTTAGCAGCACTTCTCCACAATCTCTTCTGACAGTGTTACTATAATTGAGAAAAAAATAAAACCAGTACTAAAATCCTTCTCTTCTACTTTTTCACAACCCACCTAAGAAAATGATTCAGATAATTTTCAATGTAAAAATAAACCCATCCTTTTCAACAGCAAAAGGCATTAGTAGTGCAAGATACATATAAGTGAGCCTGGTTGAAGTTTACCTAACTATAAAATAAAAGTCTTAATTTTTACCTAGCTTCATATTTCTTACTCCATGTTCAGACTACCATATGTTCTGTTAAAGTGAGGAGCAGCAAGATGTAAAAAGAGCAGTCATATAAAAATTCTTTTTCAAAGGTCAGCATGCTGCAGCACAACATGGATGTTGCTGAGGCAAGGATGGCTGTTCCCATCCTTAAAAGAATTCCATGAGCATTCTGTTCTCATGAACAGCATGCCAGAAAAGCCCACCTCCATTGTTAACACAAAAGCTATTGATGAACACAAAGACTGTCAAAAGTTTTTCCAAAACCCTACCCTAATTTAGATTTCAAAGACGGGCTGACAAGGACTACAAGCTTGTTTCAGGGTGCTTCCTACGGTTTTACAACCTAGGTTTTCTCATAAACCTACTCAGTTTTTTACATGTGCACTGACTGTGTTGTGAAAAGTTTCAAGAGACCTTGATCCTTAAGCACTTACTACTCTGTTTACATACATTGGTACTGCTTAGTTTTAGGAGAGGAAGAGTATCTTTCAGACTCCAGGAATAAAGTGTAACAGAACATTTAAACAAACATTCCTGAAATGCAAAGAAGAAATTCCTTACAACTTGCCCATCAGTTCGCTTTCCTCCTTTCCCTTTTGGCAAGGCTATCGGTCACTTCACTTTAGGCTTGTAAAGAGATAATCCCCAGAAAAAGATTGTTCACATGTTGAGAGAGCATTAACCAACCCTCAAAATGCACTAACCTCTAGAATGGAATACTGTTTCTTAAAAGCTCACAGCAGAGAGTGATTTAAAATATGAAATTAAAGAAACATCAATAAGGGATGAAAGTCTGCTGCTATACACTGTAAGGTCTCTTTATAGGTCTTCTACCACACAGACACTTACATAGTAAAAACTGCTAAATCATGTCTTCAGATTTTCAACTCTCTTCCCTTTGACAGCAAACTAGTTCCAGGACCTTATTTAAACTGATTGGTTTGCATCCTAGAGCTATGAAAACATCTATTTTGAGCAAAGAGTACCTACATACAGCTTTCAAACAGCTATTTTGTAGTCAAAGCATACAATTAGAGACCTATTCCTGTCTCAAAAATAAGTTTCCACTGTCAGATGCCTGATCTTAGCGTGAAAACTGCTTTGCGAGGAAGAGCTTTCGAAAGTATCGTTCTTTATTGTTTATACTACAGGAGCACCTACCAATCCCAAGAACTCATGTACTTCAATGGAAAAGCCAAAAGCACAGGGCTGGAGCAGGTTTGCAGGAAGCCACTTCACAGCTTTAAACTGGCCTTTTAAAACGAACTCAGGATTAATAACAGAAAGTAGAACTAAGTAAATACCAGTCATAAATGCCACTAAGCTCTTAAGGAAATTGAACATTCTTTCCATCTCATGTCTGTAGAAGATTTTTACAGCAATTATACTTGGTGTATTCCTGTAACCCCCTCACCTCTGAAATGAGAACTGCATTTACCTTTTGCTTATAATCTTTTAAGACCTTTTGACAGAGTGACATACAGGAGCTATATATGTATAATTATGATGCACAGGGTTCTTATCCGTATGTTTTAATAAGGAAGCTTATAAAGTTTTTAATAATGGATCTGCAACTAATCGAGCACAGCCACATTTACAACTTCATTGACTGGAAGTCCTTACAAAAAGGCTCAACAAGGCGCAATATAGCAACCCCGATGCTTCCAGCGCCCGCTATTTCCAGCGCCTACCCTCAACAGCTGCTTTATTATCCTGTCAAGGTGCAACTTTCCGGAGAGGCGCTTCCCTCCCGGGCGGAGGGGGGGGCCCAGGCACGATTCAACTCGGCTGCAGCAACCCCTTCCGTCAAACAAAGACGGCTGCAATCTTTATCGATAACGGCGATCCCTCTGCTACGCGCCCACGGCGGCGGGAGGCACGGCCGT